AAATGTGTGGAGTTTACTTAAAACCATTTATCTAAAAGATCTAGATCCTTTTTAGGCTTAGGTAATAACCAGAAGAGTATAGCGGCTTTTACTAGGGCTATTTTTGAAGAGTGGCAAGCTATTCCACAACAGGATATAGATAATTGTATTTTATCTCTACCTAGGCGTTGGCAAGCTGCAGTAGAAGCTAAGGGCTGGTACACTAAATATTAGCTTCTATTCTTAGCGAGAAATAAATATACTCTAAAAAATCAGACTCTTCTATATATCACGTGATCTAACTAGTAAAGGTATACTATAACAGTCAGAGCTTAGAGATTAAAGATAGATCTATAATATATATTAGACTTAGACCTTTTTATATAAAAACAATAGAGTAATCTAGATATTTAGTTTAGATTTATTCAAGCTTCTAGTTTGGGGATTTTTGTTCGCTCAGGGCTGCTGACTAAGCAGATACTGGGTCCACTATGCCAAACTAGGAGATCTTGGCTTTCTAGATCTGCAATCCGTTTATTTTTAGCTATTCTTTCCAGCTATATATTAAAGTTTTAAAATAACAACTTTTTGAGTGACGTTTTTTTCGTGTCACCCCTCTGTACTAACTATTGCACCAGCACGAATGCAGGTCTTTGGAGTCGATATAGATTGGTCTCGGATCCAAATCATCCAGCATACTGGCTTTGGCTTCGCTATTGGTTGTAGCTTGTATCCATCCCTTGCACAGAATGCGTGGTTTGTCTGGGTTGGCTTTCGCATATTGGGAGATGAGTGATCGAATATCGTCCAAATTCTTGGCGCGATCCAAGTCGACCTTATGCAATGATTGGCCTAGCATTAAGAAATGCATGTGTGCGTCGATGAAGCCTGGAAACACATACTTGCCTCCAAGGTCATGTACTGTTGCGCCAGCGTCGCAGTACGGTTGGATCTCTGGTGCATCCGGGCTGCCGACGAAGCTGATTCTGCCATCCTGGATGATGAGGGTTGAATTCAATGGAGCTTCCTCGGGGGCAGCGGCACGGAAACACCGCCCATTGGTGAAGATTGTAGTATTTCCAGAAGCAGTCATGGGTAGCATGCGTGGAGTGAAAGATTCCTGATTTTGGGATGAGGGGTACTATCAGATGGGCGAGCACGTGGACCCATTCTACATAGGCCCGAAATGCCGCCTCGACCCCGCTTCGTACACTGGCCGTACCGTTATCGGTCTACTCCACTAAATGATAACAACGGCACGCCTTGAGCTCGACCGTGTTCCGAAATGTTGTTCAAGTAACGACAGTTACCGTTGCTAGCCATGGCCCCAAGTATCCCAGAGCCTGACCAGACAACGTATGATGAGGCTCGAAACGGCGCTGCTGCATATCTGCAATCACGGCTATCAGCGAAAGATAATGATGTCAACGAAAACTTTATGATACCCTTTATCGATCTCACACCCTCGTTTTCCAAGTCACCTGCGGATCGTCAGAGAGTCGCATCTCAAATTCGAAAGGCATGCACAACCTCGGGCTTCTTCTACATTACGAACCACGGGGTCCCAAAATCGGCGTGTGACGGCATCTTGCATCAGGCCGAGCGCTTTGTAACGCAACTTCCACTGGAGAAAAAGGAGGCATTGCATCTAAAGAACAACAAATTCGGGCTAGGGTGGGAACCCAGCGAATACACATCTATTGCCGGCGACAAGGAAGAGAAAGAGGTCTTCAATTTTGCGTATGAAGCCGAACTGGACCCTACAGGGGGCGATGGAAAGTACAAAAACCTCGATGGCTCTACTGGTAAAAGCAACATGTGGCCAAGCCTAGAAGACTTGCCAGGCTTCTATGATGGCGTCAAAGAATACTACGGCAGCGTGAGTCTGACTTGGATGAAATTCTTCAATTGCACAACGTTTACCATCCCGCCTAGGTCCTTAATCTTGCTAGGCACTTGTTCCGTCTCTTCGCCCTCTCTCTTGATCTTCCCGAAGACTACTTCGACTCCATGACCACACATCCAGGCGGCATCGCAAGGCTCCTCTATTACCCTCCGCCAAAACACCCTATTTCTCCAAATACCGTCTCTACTTCTGACGAGAAAATCGGTCTCGGGGCGCACTCAGACTACGAGTGCTTCACGTTACTCCTTACATCCACAACTCCAGGCCTCGAGATCCTCAAGCCCTCAGGTCAATGGCACATTGCCTCGTACATCCCGGGGGCGCTTATAGTCAACGTTGCAGATTTTCTCATGCGCTGGACTAACGGTTTGTACAAAAGCACTGTACACCGCGTAGTGAACCGGAGTGCGGCACCGCGGTACAGTGTTCCGTTTTTCTTTTCGGTGAATTACGACACGGTAATTGAGACGCTTCCAACGTGTCTGAAGGACGGCGAGGAAAGCAAGTGGAGGCCGATCCGGGCTGGAGAGGCTCAATGCTACGACGGCGTATGGGGCAGGGTTCCAACAGGGCACCAGCGAGTAGCCGCGTAAGCCGATCGTCGCAGGATGACGTGGGTTGGCTGGGTGGGTTGTTATCGCTTATAATTTCCTTACATGTTTCATTATCTAATTCCGAGATATGATGATAGTTGAAGCTTTACTTGGCATCTGCTTCCGCGAGACTTGGCTCGGATGCGAGATACTAGAATCTTACTGTAGTTCGACATCGCTTTTTGTTAGCATTGAAAGCAAGCGATGTGCTGACTACATATACAAGGGCAAAGCCCTCTAGTACACGATCTCTTTCGCGTCGTAGTTTTCAGCCCTGAGATGATACTGTGCATATGTCAAGATGCCGAGTCCATTTGAAATAGCAGTTCAAGAAGTTGGAAGACGTTCAATGACAATGGACAATTGTTCTATAACGACTGAAACTGATCTTATAACCATTGACGCCTGTTCTATGAGGCTTTGGTGTGGTTTCAATTACAATAGTACATGTATGGCGACATGCAAGGGTACCTGTTCATATTGTACACAGTTATATGCTCGCCCTTTAGCCGCTACTGCCCAAAAGATGAAATACCACAACGAATTGCAGAAATAGACAGTCTTCCATTTACCAGCCTGCCGTGCCACCGTCGACCAACAATGTATCCACCACTTTCTTTCCGACTGCCGCTTCCACAGTCACTAGACCCGTGGGTAAGCCACTTATTGTAGCAACACCCTGACAGAGCGTATACACATCAACCGATCCGTTAGCTTTTCCCAAATCCGCAGTCCTCTGACTCATCTTCGGCGCCAGTGTTCCTGGCTGGGTAAGTGGCGCTGCTGTGCGCACTGAAAGAGTATCGCATGAATATGGCTTAGCCACAGCAACCGTGACACTTAGCGTTTTTCCTTGCATCGTCGTTGCACTTGGTACGATGAACACTTGACTGCTGATATCAAAAGTCTGCTCGGATATCGTAGGGCCCCTGACGGTCAAGACCGTAGCGTTCCGAATTACCGGTCCTGAGAGCACAAACGGAAAATATGTAGTGATCCCGTAATTGGCGTTTTCACGACCAAAGACCGAAGTGCCGGTCTCAGCTTCCGCGACAAGTGTTTCCTCTGCTTGGCCAATGTGAAGGCTGAGGGTTTGAGGCGGCGAAGCATTTCCTGGCGTGAGAATCCTGATTTTTCCTGAAAGTACTAACTTCTTGTCCTCGTCAAAGTCGTACGTCACATTTATGGGCTTCACGGGCATCGCGGTAATCGGATCGCCCAGTTGCACACCATTTGGCACGGTTTCAATCGCGCGGCCCATGAGCTACGTGCAAGTGTCGAGGAAACCTGCTCCGGACGCAAACAGGGCACGCATCGTATCGTTGTTGTCGCTTTCATAGAGCCGCAGATCCGAGTTCATTGTTTCATTGTAAGATGTGACGAGGGGGCCACCACGGCTTCCTGTGCCGTTGAGGTACTCGGCAACGACTCTGGGATCGAAGATGCTGCGTGTGGTATCAAAGTTGCTGCCACCATTGGTATTGTTGGGTGTAACAAAGGACTCATCTACGACTTCGGGGAAGCCGCCCTGGGAAAACGCAAAGTCAGTACTAAAAGAAAGCGCCAGGTTGTAATAACCCACATGATGAACAGAGCCCATGGTATGGCCACAGGCTGTAAGGCCAATGGCATCTTTCTTTCCGAACCCAGCGCGCTCGAAGAACTCCAGTGTTTCTTCTAAACTGGTTTCTGGGGCGGGCACTCCAGTCGTGATTCCTGCTTCAGTGGCGTCGACGCGTCCAGGTCGGTAGGCCATGTCTTTGCCGCCGCAGAGATTATTCGACATGACCGTACCCAGCGCAACGAGGTCGGCCACTGCAGAGAGCTCAGTCAGATATATGTCTTTCCAACTTGCTGTTATCGAAAGCTACTTACTGCTCACATATTCATTTACAAACGGCCTCCAGAATGTAAAACTATCATTGAACGCACTCCCTTTATTTTCTTCTCGTGCAGTCTCGAAGCCGATGCTCGCATCGACACCTCCAGTTCCTTTTGCCACATCGGCAGTGATAAAGTCGTGGAAGAGAACGCGCATCCATTGCGCAGCTGTTGTACGCCCGCTCGTCAGTGCTGCAGTCCCTGTTTGCGTGACATAGCGATCGCAGGGCGTGATTGCCGACGAGAAGTTAGACGCGTATGCACCCCAATTATCGACGAGAATGTGCTCGAGAAGAGACTGCTGTGGCGTGGGATGATACAGTGCTGCATTCACATGGAAGGCGATGAGAGCCAGGGGAAAAAGTAATCGGGGAGAAAGAAACATGGCGCCGAGCACGCTGAGAAGAGATAATTTCACAAGGTCAGAATACAGATGTCTTGAAGGTTGAAATATACACATAGTTGTTTTCCATCTTTTCCTCGTCTACAAAATCTATCTCGTAGCTCATGTTACACGGCAGCAGTCGAGTTATTGGGACCTTCAGTACCTGGCATAGCGCGAGTAAGTCACCATACACATGGTCCAAAGGCCTGGGAGATGATTGGCGGAGATAACACCGGATTACCCAATGCGGTAAACCACTTCTTATTCATCAAGCCACATTACGCTGACATACCTGCATGAGGCTCATCTGATAATACGGCATGCCAGAACTGGCGACAACCGACGGTGATTGGCTTCTGTAATATTCAGTACGTAATGCGATCTGATATTTGGTCTAGAGCTGTGCCGTCTGCTCTGGCCTACAACGACGGCAAGACTGAGATCAATGCCTTGATCCAACCCCCAAGGGCCAAATTCGCACCGTGCACATTTTGCTTCGCTATTGCCCGGCTTGGATGGAAGAACCCGTAACAATTAGAAATACTGAAACCGCTCGCTTCTTTCAGCAAAAGTGGTGCGCGAAACTTGACGCACAAAGGGTGCTCCACCATGAAGCAGGGGTTCAACAAGGGCAGGACCCGTCAACCAATGCGCAGCATGGAAACAACAACTCTAAATGATACTAGTTCCATTCATGTTGATGGTGAGGAGCGCATGGGGAGTTCTGACAAGGGGTCTCCGTGCACAGACCAGAAGCAAGTCGGAGACGCCTCGCTTGAAACGCTCCGCTCGTGACATGAAACTGGGGTTGAGATTCTGTCTTTGTAGCTCGCTGTCTTTTGCTATTCCACAGCAAATTTAGAGTTTGGTCAATAGAAGATGAGGTTAGGAGTGACGCCATGTGACACAAGTTAATTCCATATAGCACTTTTGTAGCTTGTCAGCGGCGGAGGGGCTGAAGACACGTATTTTCCAACCCATTTTGCTCTCTACTCGCCACTATGATGGCCCCGATCCCGCAACTTTACCTCAATGCGCCATGCAGGCAAAGCTTGGAGCCATACCAAGAGTTTTCGCCAAGTATCTCCTACGAGAAGGATTGGATTAATGCGAAAGTAGAGTCAGGCACAGTGGGATACAGACAGGTATTCAGCTGGTATAACGTGTTTTATCAGTAAGCGGCCCACATCAGTAAGTGGCCCACCCCACCAAACCTGACGCGACGCTCTACTCAATTGCTCTACAGCAACTTAATAAAATTAAATTAAATTAAAAGATATTATTCTTTATCTAGCTTTACATGAAGTCCGAGTATGTCCTTGAACGTGGCACTTCGTGCACGTTGGCGGCGCGCGCTAACGTCGCTCGCCAGTCTGGTTCTGGTCACCCCCCATCACCACCCTTTCTGCCTCTGCAATGATCTGCTGAGCCTGTTGGACCTGGAGCACCCCACTAGAAGCGATATATTGACGCTG